CATCTATATTAAAAATTTTTCTTCCGTGTCGCTCTAAGATTAAAGAAAAGATAAAATTAGACACCCCTGTGAATTAAGGTGAAAGTTCTATGCAGATGAAAAGTTTTGGCTTTAAATGCATCTACTAGAAAATGAGACAGACTGTAAATAGTTTTAACTTTCAAGGAATTCTAGAGAAGGAGTAAATTAATAGAGAGAAAAACAAAAATTGATGACATAAACATAGGAATAAACTGAATCGATCAGTTTAAATTGACTTGATCAACAAAAACTGATTCTTGAAAAAGACCAAAAAAGAAAACAAATCATTGAAAAACTTAAGGACAAAAAAAAAAAATTTAAAAAAAAAAAAAAAAAAAAAAAAAAAAAAAAAAAAAAAAAAAAAAAAAAAAAAAAAAAAAAAAAAAAGAGAGAGAAGAAACATTAGGAACCTACCTATTTAAATCTTTTTATCAATAAATCGAAAATCTAAATAAAAGAAATGATTTTCTATAGAAATATAAATGGTAAAAGTTAGCTCAAGAGGAAGTAGAAAAACATCAAGAGATCAGTACTCATAAAAGAAGTGGAGAAGGTAATACTTAAAACACCTAAGCATTTTGACAAGCAAATATTACTAAATCTTCAAGGAATAGGCAAAAAACAATTTCTAGGATGATTAACTGTCTTGACTTGCCTGGGACTGAGGCAATCCCTGGGATGTGGGACTCTCAGAAAATTGAGAAAATCCTGGGACAAGTTGGTTACCCTCATGTTTCATGAATTGTGTAGACAGATGACTCCAATACCAAAATAGGACAAAGATAGCGTAAATCATTAGGATCCAACTTAAATATAAGCAATCTTAATCCAGCAGTTTAAAAAAGAAGTAATTTAGAAAAAAAGAATAGATGAAGATGTTCTTAAATTGATACACTATCTTCCTGAATTAATGAAAACATTATGCTTAGTATCGAGAAACATTAAGTGTTCTCAGTATAATAGGGAAAAACAGTATGTTTGCTCAACATTGTGCTGGAGGTGTTAGTCAAGATAATGAGGCTAAAAGTATGCAAATATTGGAAAGGAAGGGACAAGACTGTACTTCGTAGAGAATATTATTGTCCATGATGAAAATCTAAACATTGATGAACAAACTATTAAAATGCTTAAAAGAATTTTTACCTGCATGGCTGGGTAGAATTACTAATCACAAATTCGAATATATAGAAAAATAATCAATATTATTGAGGCTTTTGATATGACAGATTCTGTTCTATGCACCTTTTAAATGTAATTTCTCATTTTATTCTCAGAACAATTCTATGAAGTAAGTCTATTGGTGTCCTTGTTTCACCAATGAGGAAACCAAAGAACTGAGTCGAGTAACTTGTGCACACAAATACAAGTGGTGGAAACAGGAATTGGAACTAGGTATTTAATTCTAGAGTTTCTTCTTCTTTCCATAATAATTTAATTCACAATGACAAGTAAACTTAAGATATTGGTGGCAAGAACAGCTACATGTGCCCCACAGGTCCCTACTCTTTCTTTCATTGGTATAGAGTTGTAGCTGATAAGTGGCTGCCCAGCCAGGGAATTACCCAGACTCCCTTATATCTAGGTGGGGTCATGTGACCAGTCTTGCCAATGAAATCAAGCAGAAATGATGTGTGTCACTTCTCAGTCAAGGTGGTTAAGGCAAGGGATGTATCTTCCTTATGCTGGCTGGATGTTAATGCCCAGGGCAATCTTAGAAACCTAGTGTTACAGGTGGTGAAGACTTTCTCAGCTGTGGGCCCTAAATGACTATGTGGAATAGTGTCTGTTATCTAAGACAAAAAAACAAACTTCATTGTGTTAAGCCGCTGGAAATCTGAAGTTATTTGTCACAGCAGCTGTCAGTGCCAAGCTGATCAAGAAGGGAAGGTTTGGGTAGTGAGACACCCAGTTGGATGAATGCACAAGAGGCCGACATGAGAATAAAATGACAGGCACCAACTTTATTGTGGGAGTGCACTTCTGTTTGCTGGAAGTGCAGTTCTACTGTGGGGAGTGGGCTTCTGCCTTTTCTCTTCTTCTGCTTCCCTTCTGCTCCCCAGGGGACCGCATGGCTCCACACATATCAGAGTACAATAGTGGCGTTCAGCCACACGTGCGTGATACAATAAGCTGAATTATGTTTACATATTTTACCTACCGCTCTATGTAACATTCTAAATCTGGAGTCCTACTCCTAGTGTGAGCCTGGATCACAGCCAGGCCTGGGACCCTCAGCAGCTAAAGTCATCCTAACTATGCAAATTAACAAGAAATGTCCAAGATTTATATGAGAAACTTCTAAACGTTTTTAGAAGAATACATGAAATCTGAATAAATGGATACCATATTTGTGGAAGAGACAACTGATTAATGCAAAGATGTAACTTTCCCCCTAAATATCTCTAATTTCAACATAATACTTTTTTAAAGAATACAATTTTAACTAGAAAATTAAACTTAGGCGATAAGACAAAAACATTTTGAAAGAGAATAATAAATGGTAGAAACTTCTATCAGATATCAGATACCAAAGCTTACTATAAGATTATGATTAAATCAGAAGTGGCAGTAGCATAGAAATTAACAAATAGGTCAATGAAACTGAGCACATGGTTCAGAAAGAGACCCATGGACTTATGAAAATTTTGCATATTTTAAATTCGGAAAGAATGGAAAAATGTTGGTGAGACAACTAGATGCCCATTTTGAAAAAAATAATGCCAGATGATTTCAACCTCACACTATTTTAAAAAATAAACAACAGCAAAACTACAAATGGTTATAGGGAAGTCTATTTATATCCTTGGAGTTAGAAAAAAAATCAAAAAGAAAGTTTTTAAAAAACCCTAAGAAAAATATTCACAAGCAATAACATTAAAATGAATATGTAATGTATTGTAAGGGCACCAGAAATAAAAGAGAAAATACTTGTTACTTTGATAGTAGGCAAATAATTAATACCCAGAACATGTAAAAAAACTCCTACAAGTTTATAAGAACATGACAAATAACCCAGTAGAAGAATGGGCAAACGATATACACTGGTATTTCACACATAAACCTACAAAAAGATACTCAGCTCCACTCTTAACTGGAAAAACACAAATTGAAATAACAAAGAGGTATAATTTCTTGACCAACAAACTGGAAAAGTTTGTTAATATAAAATCCTGGCCAAAGAATAGAGAAAAAGCCATAATTGTATTTTTGATGATTCGGTTTTGAGGGCATTTTTAAAATACTGTTAAAATTTAAGAAGCATGTACTCTTTGACACAACAATTCCACTTCTTGTCAATATACTCTAGGAATTAATTCACTTGTATATACAAAGAACTATATAGAAGGGTTTTCATTGTAGCAATATTGGTAATGCGAAAACTTGAAAACAGCCTAAAGGCTCATTGAAATGTGAACTGTAAACACTCTGAAGCAATAGAAAAGAATTAAGTGGCTCAACATGGACTGATGTGGAAATAGGCATCATACTTAGAGATAAGACACATTATTAAGTGAAAAAGACAATACTTATAATGCCATTTATAAAGTGTGAAAGAAAAACAACCCACAAAACATTTATTTCTGTATGTACTTATATATGTATGTAGCTGCAGAGACAAAGTTAGGAAGGGTTGACTAAACCAAAGTCAGTGAGAGCCTAGCCGAGAGCTGGTGGGAAATGGGACGGTTGGGGCATCAGGAATATCTTTTACATTGGGAATATCTTTTACATTGGGAATGTGTTTAATAATATAATTTAGTAAATTTAAATAGAAGAAGATGTAAGTGATGAGGCTTCAACCCCAGAGATTTTTATTTGGATGGTTTTGGTAGGAATTGCTGTTTTTCTTTGACATCTTCCTGGATGATTCTGAGACCACTGGCTTGAAGATTGAATTATTGGTTATTGGAGATACTATTTTATGGTCTTTAATTAAGCTTCTTATGTGCTTTCTATAATATGTCATTCCTCATTAAAATAACTGGCATAGTGCTCACTTTGGTAGCACATATACTGGAACAATACAGAGAAGATAAGCATGGGCCCTGCATAAAGGTGACACACAAATTCATGAAACATTCCATATGTTAGTTAACAAGGCAAATTTTGTTATGTGTATTTTACCACAATTTAAAAAATGACAGTATAAATCACTTAATTAAAATCATAGAGAAAAATTTTAATTAACTGGGTCCATTGTCACTAACTCAAATCTCATCAGTCTCTGTTTACAGGAATGCTGGTCTTCAGGAAAAGCTCTGACTTTCTTCACTGTAGCATTCTTAGGTGTGATGCCCAGCAAACCAAGTTTACGTGGCACCCCGTGCTGTGTTAATGCACAGCACTTCTGCACACCGTCAGTCAGTCCCTATGAGTCTAGGTAGTTTCCATTGTGATGAGAATTCCTTGCTGGTGTCAGGGAAGCATCCATTTACCCTCCAGTTCCATATTCCATTTTCTGTCCTATTGGGAGCCAGAGAACAGGGAGAAAGGGCTCAGGTCCATGACTATGCCCATGTGAAGCGAACCACAAGAACATCCTTATAAATAGGGAGCAGCTTAAAAGTCGCTGCAGAAATATTGTTTTTTATTAAGAGGTTCTGCCCTAGACCCTATTACGTAAATGGTAGTATAGCAACCTCCGAATTCTGATTTCCAATACACATCCGACCCCAGACATTTCGGTTGAGATGGCATTCAGATTGTGGGTCTGTACAAAGGAAACTGAAAATAGTTCCTGGCACATTATAAACACACAAACAAATTACTATGATTATGTCACATTTTGTCTGGCCCAATGCGGCTGTTTTGCTCATAACTAAGAAAACTTTGCTACGTCGAGGACATTTAAACCCAAGAGAAGCAAGCACAGCACATCACCTTGTGACCAAGTGGGTGATGCCCCAATTCACCTTTAAATCAAGCTTCCCTGTCTGCTGATTGTCTCTGTCTTTTTTGGTTTTCATCCCCACCTTTAGCTAGCAAGACAAGGGCTCAATGTTGTACTGATCAGCCGGACACTGGAAAAACTACAGGCCATTGCTGTGGAGATTGGTGAGTGACCCCAAAGAATAAGGGAGATGTCTGTAGAGTCCACTAGCCAAGTCTGCTCTTGTAGATGCCTGTAGATGCATAATCAGCATCCCTTCACCTCTTCTTTGAACCCTGGGGCTCTGGTCCTCCTACAGGAGCTCCATTTACAAAGTTAAGTGTGGGCTGTGAAGTGGGGGCCTTAGTTCACCAGTGACTCTTTGGGCTAAGTGAAGCAGGAACAGAGTCATGTACAAGTGGGTCCACTCTTTGGTTTGATGTCTTCACCTTTGGAATCAGACCTCCTTATCCAGAGGCCCCAGATGCCTGGTTGCTTCTGCTACTCTCTTCAAAAGCAGGATTTGTGTTGGACCTTCACTTCTCTAAGTTGATGGTCTGCTCCTTGCAGGAGGGTGAAGTACGATGCTTAATGATAGTTGTCAGATTTTTAAAAAAGATTTGATCCAGGGCTGTTGCATATGGTTGTGAAAGTTGTACACTGTACAACTTGAGGAGGCAACATTTGTAGTATAACATTTTATTATTATCATCTACTTTGAAGTGTTCTTAGTTAATAAAGATTATAGTATACCTTTTTAGGTGTTTAATTATGTATTTGCATTTTAATAATTAATTATTAATTTAGTAATTAATGTGCTCCTTAACTCAAAAGAATGAGTCTTTGATTATGAAGACTCTTGAAGACAATGGCAGGCTGTCTAGGAGACAGCCTGTATCTGTGGGGGAGATTAGGAATGGGAGATGAATGTGGGAGGCACAGGACTGAGCAATCACACCGTGGAGGCTCAGTGCCCTTGGACCAGTGAATCCTGCTTTTATTCTGTGTCTGGATATCAGAAGTAACTTTGACTGGGATTAGGACATTCCTCAGTGTTTCTCTCACGATGCTAAAATGTGCTTTTTATCATCCTTTTGAAAAACAAGTAGTGTCTTTAGTCTAAAAGCATTTCCCTGCCCCCAAACTATGCCTCAAGATCACTTCCCCCAGAAATATTGCGTCTGAACAGGCAGCCGCTGATGAAATCTTCCTGTTGCTTTCATATCTGCCTGAAAGCTCCTGCACAAGGCAAGTTCATGCAGAAGAGTGCAAAGAGTATTGGCTTGGAGGGAGCAAAGTGTGGGTGCCTTTGGGCAAGGCAGTGAGCATCTCTGAGCCTAGTTTTCTCCTCTGCAAAATGGGACTAATGCCTACTTTACAAGATTGTAGAAAGGATTAAAATAAGATATTGTGTAGGTAAATGCTTTAATGAATGCTAAAGTGTTGGACAAATACAGAGGGCTGTCATGTCTGTGCGAAGGGGACGTGACACAGCACAGGCAGCATCACTTTGCTCTTACAGCCCCTGGTCCACGGGTCTCCAACCTAGGTGTGCAACAGTCACCCGGAGCGCCTGTCCCAACAGATCATGGGGCCCACTCCTAGGGCTTCCTAGTTCAGTAGGTCTGGGGTGGAGCCTGAGATTTTGTGTTTCTAACAAGTTCCCAGTGATATCGATGTTGTGGCCTGTGAACTCCACTTTGAGAATCACTGCATTAAATCTGTTTTGGTGCATATACATGTCACTGTAGTAACTTTTAAAATCACACAGAAACTATCATTCGCAAATCTTTTTGCACATCCTGGCATTTATCTGGGGCTATTTCTTGTTTTTAATTGGGGCAATGAGCTTGTGCTCTTCAGCCTGCTCAAATATTACAGGAACCGTGGGGAAACTCCATGGGCAAGAGGCAGATTTGGACTCCAGTTCATCGAAGTATAACTATTGTTTCTAATGCAGAGGTGACTACAGGGAGTAGTGTGAAGATTATACAAGTGGATTTTACTAAGGACGACATCTATGAGTATATTAAAGAAGAACTTAAAGGCTTAGAAATTGGAATTTTAGGTAAGTAAATTGCAAAATGCGAAGCTTGTTGTAATATATCAGTGAAATAATTACTAAGTGATGTTTGATTATTCCATGATTATTCCATTAACCCATGACTGTATTTTAAGCTGTAGCATTAAACTGAATATTAATGCTCAATTCTTCAAGAGATGTTACTGGATTAACAAATTTGTATATGGCTTTGGAATGTATCTAACTTACCGATTTTAAACTTCCCAACCATATTTCTTAATATTAAAATGAATTTGCTTTCACTGAGGGAATCACAGAAACATTAGTAGCCTAAAGGAATTTGTTTAGCAAAAAAACATTGCTATGATCGATCCATGAAATGGCAAGTCAGTATGGTTATTTGAGAATTGACTCTCTTATTCAGGAAACAAGATAATATTTTCTTGGGATGATTTAGAAAAAAGTTATTTTATAACTGCATACATGATACAGTGTTTGTATTATACACAGAAGGAAGTAAGATTTGATTTCTAAACTTCCTGCTGAATTAAACTAATTACTAATTATTTTTACTAACGAAAATGTAAAACATGTCATTGCAGTAAAAATGGAAAGAGTAGAGGAGCACATGAAAGAATTATGAATTTCTTAAAATCCTGACAGTTTGAGAAAACATATTGGTGCATATCTTTCTAGATATATATTTTTGCAAATTTATACATATTTTATATATTTACACATATTTCACATATCTACACACATTTTCAAAATTGGGATTAAACTTACATACTGTTTTGTAACATTAAAAAAAATTATACATCACAAATGTTTTCCCATGTCTTTAAAACTCTAAAGGCCCCATAGTTTTGAATGACTGCATTGCATTCCACCATATGGAAGTACCATGATTCATTTAATGTGCTTCCTATTACTGGACCACAATTTTTTCCTCTCATTTTTTTTCACTGCTATCAAATCATGCTTTAATGAACAACCTTATATATAAATCTTTTTGTATGTGTTTTCTCAAAAAAACTTCCCAAGAGAAAAATTCCTGGGTTGACTATAACTATTTTTAAGGCTTTGTCAAGAAACATTTGCTGTTGGCTCTTCTGATATCTTTTTGTTCTTCCTCTCTCTGTTAGTCAACAATGTTGGAATGCTTCCAAGCCTCCTCCCAAGCCATTTCCTTAATACATCAGATGACATCCAGGTAGGCCTGTCCTGTCTGTGGATGGTATCCTCTCACCAGGTACTAGGCCCCCTGGCTGGATCATCACCAGGGCCTGGGAAGGGTGTCTGTACAAAATTTTGTATTCCAGGTGGATGTCTGGAGGTCTCTCTTTCCTTTCATCTTAGTACTTGATACACAGTCAAGGGTACAACCGTTCATGGCCACCTCTAGTATAAGGTCATCTTCCTCCTTCTCTGCACATCAAAACTTGCCTGCTCGCTGTCCCAGTTTTTCGGGGGTTCTGCACTCTGCCTTACAAGGGAGTGATTCTTTCTGAGAAGTTCAGAGGCTGTGGATGTAAGTGGGAGAAGTCTAGCTATTTGGTTTTCTTTGTCTTCTCCAGTAATGAGATTTGTTCGACCTTCAGTGTGAGGGAAGTCCATGATACAAACTTCATGGTTGGGGTATTGTAAGTTCAGCAAGCTTGATTCAGATCCATAGCTGCCATTGTTGGTCCCAGGTAAATTGGTTTTACATTCAACAGTCCTTGAAGGCAATGTTTGTTGAGTCTTCCCTAGACCTTGACCTTTGAAGTCTTGGAGTTCTGAGCAGGCAGTCACGTTCCCTTTCCCTGATTCTACAGGTATTCCTATGGTTCTATTTAAGTCCCAAGTCTACTGCATGGGACTATCATGCCAGATTGCTTGGACATCGCTCCATATCCTTGCAAAAACCCGTCTTGGCTACACATCTAGCCCTATGGTCCTTGCTTCTGGCATAAATGTGTCTCCCCATTAAGCAGGTTTCATTCTTGCTTCTCTTTATTTATGTCTGTATTTGTGCTTGTTTCTATATCTGTCCCTCTTGCCCTCTCTGTCTGTCTTGGGTAATTCTTATAGTTTCTTTATCCAACCTCTGTAGCCCAGAACTTCTACCTTGAATTATATAATCATTTGTCTTTCTATTCTCTATGCTATTGTCTTCTAGACTCACATATGCTAATGTCTCTTCCTCCAGCTGGAAATTAACATCTCTTTTTGAAAAACTGCATCTTTATTACCTCCTAAATTTTTGAGGAAACTCTTAATTGACTTTGATTCAAGATCACATTTTTATAGAATCATAGTATGGATGTCAGATGTTTCCCGGTCCTAGTGCATACTTGCTGAATGCCAATTAGGAGCCTCATTCGCAGGGGAGAGAACTACTCATAATGCACATTTGCCCACATTATGGTTCTTTAGCACTGACTACTTCTCAAGAGAATTTCTCAAATGATACTGCTGATCCGTGGTTGTGATTATTTATTACAGAGCCTCATCCACTGTAACATCACTTCAGTAGTGAAGGTATGTGATCAAGGTATTAAATGTATTAAAATGTAGCTGTTGGAATTTGGCAACTCAGGAGAATTGGCCCCTTCTCTGTAGAAGCAGATTTCTTTGCATCGAACCACACTCGACTGAGAGGCCATGTAGCAGCTTTTTAATTGTTTTATTCTGTTTTCCTCAAGTACTGTGATGGATTCATTCTCTCTAGTGTTTGAATCCCATTTCTGCATTCAGTTTTCTCACACATCAGAACATATTAGACCTAATGATAGTGAAACTGACTCAGGATTCCAAGGTGACTTTTTTAAAAAATGCAATACCTTCCTCTGATTTTAGTTTTGTAAATAGAGGAAAGCTCATTCTGTTCAGAAAAATGGCAGAGGGCACGGCTTGGATTTCATGAGCTCTTGCTGTTCATTAACTATTTATTGAATTAAAGTTCATGTTTACATGTATTTCTGATCCTAGCTCAGCTACTAGTTAGTTGGACAGCATTGGGCATGCTATTAAACTTCAGGTTCTTCATCTGCTATTAAAAGAGTGTTGGACTAAGTGATGTGTCAGGTGCCATTCAGGTCCTTTGATTAGAGTCAACTGCATAAACCTTTATAGACATGACTACCACAAAGCTGTCCTATACTGTGCCTCTGCATGAATAAGAAAAAAAGTGCCTCCTCTAGGCAGACAATTTGGAAAAAGATGCTGCTTAAGAGTGGACACAGCCCAATGCCTGGCCAGTAGATAGTGCTTTTGTGTGAACACAGTGTTTTCCTTTCCTCTGAATGGCAAGGGCCTTCTAAATAGCTTGTGAGTGAACCCTGGGCTTTCAGCCTCCACTCACCCACCCCCAGAGCAAGGGCACCTTGCTTACTACACAAAATTCACAGCTGCGCCTGGCAGCCCTCGTGACCACTCCGGAAGCCCCAGTAGAACCACAGCGGTGAATCAGGTTTGATCCTGATTTTGTGCTGCTGGGGAGCAGCAGGAGCTTCGTTCTCACCTTGAAATGGTGGGCTGGCTGTGCAGGACTGCTTTCCCAGAGGAAAATCGGTTGCTCTCAAGCTGAGGAGGGGGATGGTTGCTGCACAGACCAGAGGGATAAGTTGGGCTGACAAAAATTATTTTTACTATTAATTATTTTTCTGTAAGCCTACTGGCATTTCAGAGTTTCCTGCTCAGTTTTTATTGGTACGTACATTCTTTTTATGCTGCACAATCAACGCCTTTTTAAAAACTCAGCTGATGAAACTGTAAGTTTTATATGTCCAACTGTTGTCGGTAGCCTTACTGCTAAACCTTTCAAGTTATTTTACACATTGATCTTTTGGTCTTGATTCATTTGATCACAGGGCTTTCCAAATGCATTTGACAAACCTCTGACTCTTTTAGCAGAGAAATGCTATGATTTACTAAAAAATTATTTTATGTACTGCTAGACACTAACTTCCCTAAGTAACAGAAAAAACACGCTGAAGTTTAGCTTCTGAGTAAGCCGTGCCCCAGTTGGCCATGCTGGTTGGAGGCATGACAAGTATCACTTAATTATTCCAAAGTAGCCATCTGGAAATAGTAGAGATCTCATCAAGGGCATAGATGGGAGATGAGTTTGAGGGCAAGAGGAACTTGATGTAAGACGCTAAATATTGGGGGCTTTGTGACTGGGACACACAAAGTCTGATGTTATCTCTCTAACTGGGATTATCTGCCCAATGAGACTAGTGAATTCATTTGGGAGACTTTGAGGACATACGGGCCCTGTCCAGCAGAGCTCCAGTCGCATCCTTGACAAAGTTGGGAAAGCCAAGGAAAGGGCGATGACACGATCTAGTCCTTATCCTTCTCCCACCTCCCTGAAAATCAGGGCTTTTAGGGGCTGGTCCTACGGGTTCTAGGGAGCCCTCCTCCCCCACTTCCACCTCCGCTGCTGACCCAGAGCAGTGAAACATCGCTTTGGAGGCTCCTGCAGATAGGCTTAAGAGCTTGGTCCATGAAATGGGAGTGGTGGCAAGGATACCACTGAAAAGCTCCCGCAGGGCTCCCAGACAACATGGAGAAAAAGGAAAAACTTACTTTCTGGTCCCCAGCCTTTATTTCTCTGCCTCTTCTCAGCCATTTTGTTCCTCTCTGTCTCAAACTTGCTCCCAAGACCAAGCCTGAGTCCACTCAATTGTACTTTCAAGAACATTTTAGTCCATGGGTTTGTCTCCTCCTTAATTCTTAAAATGTGTGCCTTGTAATTATGATATGAAAAGCTCTTTGAATGAGATACTTAAGCTCTAGAAGTGGCAGAGAAGAGATCTTCAGGGGGCAGTAGATTGGGAAGGGACAGGGGCTTGTCGACACTGTGGTAATTCCAAAAGATAGACAGACAGACATGTTCTGTCTCATGGACACTTGCGTGGTTCCTTGACTGTCCACCAATACTAACAAATGGCTGAGATTTATGATGGCCAGCTTACTTTTGCCTGTCTCCCAAGTAAAGAGTATCTGGGGAACCTCAACAAGAAGCCAATTTCCATAAATTTCCACTGCCTTCATTTTGCAGAAAGACTTTAGCTTTATGGGGAAGAAACCAGAGGCCTCTAAGCAGTTTGCCATTTGTCTAGGTTGCCTCCTGTGAGTTCCAGCCAGACTCTAGTGTTGCCAGAATTACCTCCAATAAGTGTCAGCAGATTTGCAAGGATGAAGCAGTTCTCCAGCTTCCTCCTACAACCACCTCTCCCAGAACCCTGCCCATTGCTACTTAGCTCTTTGTCAAGGTATAACTTTGGCCTTCTCTTGTAGATGACACAGCTAATTCTGAAAGACATGGAATCAAGGTAAGGACTTTCTTTGAAAAAGCCTGGAGCAGCATGGTCTCCCTGGTCTGGCAGTCAGCTGACTCGGATACCCGGGGGATAGGGTTCATCAGGGTGCTACTTTAACAATGATAAAACTGTCAATGATAAAACTGAAAAGACATGGAGATTACAGGATAAAAACAAAACACAACAAAACAAAACATACAAAACAACATTCTGGGCCAGGCCAGCTTTGCAAACAGATGAGCATACTTGAAGGTCAAATGTAACATATACTGGAGGGAGGAGAACAGCAGTTTCAGCACACACTGTATTTTTTAAAAAATTAACTCATGTTGAGCATAAAAGAAACTTCAGAAGTTGGCCTGAGACCAAGACCATCTCTTTGTTATTATGAATTTGAGCTCTTGTCAGAACGAACACTCCAATTTAGTGGTAAAAATCAGTACCCTATCAGTGCCTCCACTTACTCCATGTTTCTATCACCCTATTACATTTGGGAGTTGGTTTTTCTCAGGTGGTATTCATTAAAAGCAACTGGTTGATAGTTTTATCTTCCCTAGCAGAACACGGGGATTGGCTTTGTATTCTAATGTGCAGTTTCCTGGTTTTTCTGAATTGAACCCATCTAATTGGGATGGATTAAAGATAACAAATTTCAGAAGGATAATCAAGGACCCCAGAAACTTGTGTGGGTGCCTGTGTGAGCAGATGATGAACCATCAAATTCTACCCAAGACAGGATTCTACTTGTGGCCCCTGTCCTTTTGTGGGTCATCTTATGAGTCAGAAGGGACCTCGAGCTCATGTGGTCGCATTTGAGACAGAAAGATCTCTTTCCCCGAGTCTGGTCTGAGTTGGTTTCCCGCATTTTGGTGGGAGGCCTTTGTTGTAGCAGAGCCCGTTCCCAGTCACAAGCCCTTGATGTCAACTGACTGCCAAGCGACATCACTGTGCGGTGCTATAGCCTATGACGTCGAGGAAGTTTCACTCACATATTTGGAAGCAGAGCACTTAGTGCACTCGGAAGCCTAGAAAGGGTGAAATTTCCCCAGCGTTCCCTGGAGCCCTTCTGTTTTCTCCCTCTTTGAGGTGTGATCAGGCAGCAAAACCACTGAAACTTTGCTGCTTTATCTTTTAGGCGGAGAGGGCTCATCTTGAACATTTCTTCTGGGGTGGCTCTCTTTCACTGGCCTCTATACTCCATGTATTCGGCTTCCAAGGTGAGTGATAGCATGCAGTTCTCTTCTCCTTCTCCTTCTTCCTCTTGTCTATTCCAGTTGGTATTTTCCTTTGGATCATTTGGCAAGTTGAGGGACAGATTTGCCAGGAGGCATTCTTCTATGTACTGGGCAGAGCTAGTCTGCAGGTGCTTGGGTACAAATCAGAGAATGGTGCTGCCCCTGGGCTGACGAAGGCCTGCAGCAGCACAGCAGGGCAAGCACAGCCCCCTCAGGCCTCCAACCCCCACTCATCTCCTTGCCTGGGAGCCCTGCTGTCTTCTTGCCAGCAGGTAACCCTGTAACTTCCTTCCTGCCCTGGAGGTCTAGTCAGGTGTCCCCATGCTCTCTTAAAAAAAAAAAACCTTGGAGGAGGGAGTGCTCTAGACAAGGGACAGGTTCTCTTGGGTTGGATCACTCATATGCAGTGGCCTGAGGTATGTATTTATCGCAAAATGTATGTTTCCACTGATTGAGGGACCGCTTCCCAGACCAAGAAATGAAGACCTAACTCCCATCGAGACAAGCTGCTGCATTTTAAAATAAAGCAGTAGGCTCCTTGCGGTGCCCTTTGAAATCTGAGAAAGTTGGTTCTGATGGAGAAAGCAAGCTCTGGGTCACGAGGTGTTTCTCCTTCTTGCTCCAGGCTTTTGTGTACACATTTTCCAAGGCGCTGCAAGCAGAATATAAAGCGAAAGGAATCATTATCCAGGTGAGGTTAACTATTCTGAGTTTTTGGGAATAGGAACTCTGGATTCCCATAGAGCTGGGGCCAATGCCTCCTGCAGGACTGGCCATGCATATGCAGCCAGGAGGAGGGTGGTCTGGATGACACCATGGGAGTACTTGCAACCCTCATGGTGGCAGCTGTGCTACCACGGTTTCGCTTGCTGCCGCCCTCACCCATGCCCTAGGTGCTAGAGCAGGTAGTGGGATAGGGCGAGTGAGCGCTCAGAAACGAAGTCGACCCTCTTGCTACGTGATGCTACATCAGGACAAATTAGTGAGTTCCATGGGGAAGCAGGAGTGGGAGGAGGTGGGGTAGGGAAGGGAACCCCTTTTCTAATGCAGAAGCCTTGGAGCTGCTCTCCTAGCAAGTATGAGAAGGTGAAAAGACTGACCTTTCGAAAACCAACTAGCTTCTTCAAACACACACATTATTGGTGCTCAATAAATACTTGTTAAATGAATGAGGAAGTATGTACTATAGACTAAGGTTTGATTTTCAAATCCCAGCTCAGCCATTTATTATCTGAGTGATCCTGGAAAGCTTGCTTAAACTCTGTGAGCCTCAGTTTCCCCATATGTAAAAAGGGGTTTACAATAACTGCTCACTTTTCTGAGTTATTGTAAAGAACTAATGAATAAATAAGTATGCAAATTTAACTACTATTTATTGAGCCCTAATTTGTACAAAAAGGTGCTTTGTCAACCAAAACTTACTGTAGGAATAAAACTACTTGTTATTTCACTATCTGGAAACCAGGGTTGGGAATACATGCTCTTTATATTTTTCTCTAAAAGTAACATTTTGAGATCTTTGGAAGAAAGTGTTATGCAAATTAATGACAGCATTCATTTCCATGAGAACCAAGTCGATTGAATTGATTGAATTGTAATTGAATTCTATTATGAATAACATCATTTCAAGTGTCAAGTGAAGAAAAGGTGATATGACGAAAATTGCAAATGTGATGTGAAAAACAATAAAACCAAGAAAAGAAGCATAGATCTTTTTTTTCTCTCTAAAGATGCCAAGGTCTCTGTGTCTGGGAATAAAGTAAGAAACTCCATTATAAAATCTCATGCCAGGCCACACAGTGGTGAGACTACAAGTGGAAGCATGGTGTTGGATTTGCAGGGTACAATGTGTGATTGTTTATTTTTCTTACCACAGCACGAAAGATTATGCGGTATATGCTACTCCTGGCTCCCAACTAAAGTGTAAAAGTGGGAATCCAGAATGTTTTAAATTGCTCCAACTTTGGCTGTATATGTTAGAAATAAACTTCTGAGATAAGGTTGCCAGATACAGAAAATCCAGTTAAATTTGAATTTTAGATAAATAACAAAATACATTTTTTACTGTAAGTGTATCCCATGCCTTACTTGGGACATAATTATACTGAAAATCTTTTTGTTGTTTTTCTGGATTCAAATTTAGTTGAGTGTCCTGCATTTTTATTTTCAAAGTCTGGCAACCATGTTCTGAGAGATGGCTCATATCCTCAGTTACCCTGTGTGCATTTGAACCACCTAGTGTCATGTGGCTAAAGCCTCATCTTGAATTAGTGGCAAAGTGAAACTGGAAACCAGCCTTTCCTATTCCTAGCTCTGCACCAGTTCTATGCCTTTTCAGTGCTGCATTATCATTTAGGATCCTGACACTTTTTACAGGAAGAACAGAGTTGGAAAATGAAGGTATGGTAAAATGGGGGTTTATTTCTCAGGCTTGGGTGGATTGCTCCTGTGTTACTGTCTTTGTTTCCCACTGTAGGTGCTGACCCCATATGCTGTTTCGACCCGCATGACAAACTACATCAACACCAACCTGATAACCAAGACTGCTGATGAGTTTGTTAAAGAATCACTGAATTACGTCATGATTGGAGATGAAACCTGTGGCTGCCTTGCCCATGAAATCTTGGTAATTGATAACTTCTCTTTTCTTGGAGCAAGTGAGGACAAATGTATAGGTGGCCCTCACAGGGCTGAGATAGCTTTTCCTTGCTATTGGAACACTCAACCATTTTCTCCCCTAGCAAGGACAGCGATGCCAGAGGGTACGCTACCAATGGGTAATATAGTCAGGGAAAAAGCATAGGTAGCCAGGGGAGGAGAAGCTGGAGGCTTGGGTCCTCAGCCCATAGATAACCCCCAACTGGCAAATCTTACTCTGGCCACTTCCCTTCTCCCCTCAGAAAGTAAGGTGGCTCCCAGAGCTTCTGGGAAGAGCTGATCAAGACACAGGGAGCTTCCCCCATAGGACTGCTTTCTTCTCTGGCCCTCTGCGTTAGTAAATGTTCAACTCTCTGGCTGTTCACAAAACAAAACAAAACAGAACACCTTGATATGTTGCACTTGTTGATTTCCATTGTTTAAATACGTACCCCCCGCTGCCCTATTTCTGATTTTTAGCTACCAGTGTGTTGTCAGTGCCCATGAATTAGGAGTAGTGCGCATGACTGGCTTTTGTGAGTAAGCACAAGCTGTTTCCTGCATGCCGTGGACTCCATATGGAAATCACGTTAAATGGCACATGATGTGAGGAGTTCTTACTACTCCTGAGCTGCTTGTAGAAATGAACACAAATATAGGTAGAGTCGAATATTGCATGCTAATACTGAAAACAGTTTCAGTGTAGTTCTGTTTTCAGCATCACCAAAGAATTTTAGACAGATCTTCTGATTTGTTTCCTTAAATCTCATTTCAATCAAACCTTGGTGGAAAGAACATGAAGACACGAGGAGACTGAGGACTAGGAATAGGAAGTGTTCACTAAGAGAAAGAACATGGTGCTTTACCATGGACAGAGTTCTCTTAATTTAGAATTTCCTCAGGGCTGATTCTACAAGTGACTGCTTTGGTTTCTGAGAAAAATTTGCTGAGAAAGTGTCAGAAAACCTTTAAACTTTAGCAATTATAGTCATGAGCCACATAACTACGCTTCAGTCAACAACTGATCTCATGTACGACGGTGGTCCCATAAGATTATGATGGAGCTGAAAAAACACCTATTTCCTAGTGACTCCAAGCCATTGTAGTGTTGGAGTGCAAGGCATTATTCATGTGTTTGTGGTGATGCTGGTATAAACAAACCTACTGTGCTGCCAGCCGTATAAAAGTATAGCGCATATAATTATGTAAGTATGGAATACTTGATATGATAATAAACAACTATGTTACTGGTTTATGTACTTACTATGCTATACTTTTTATTTTAATGTGTACTCTTTCTATTTATAAAAATAAATCTGATGTAAAACAGTATGCCGTGTTATACCAGCAGCAACCTCATAGATCTACCTTCATAGATCTCTTAACTGCATCATTTTCTCTTGTGCTTGATTAATCTTTGTGTTGTTTTGTTCATCATGACCCCTAAGCATACATAACCCACTGTTAATGTTGCCAGTAAGAGGCCACATTGAATGATTGACTTGGAAATGAAATTAAAAGTGATTAAGACTAGGAAGGCGGAAAATCAGTGATGGTTATTGCTTGCCAGTCAGGCATGTCCCAGTTCCCCACAGTTATGATCATAAAGAACAAGAACAAAGAGATGGGAACTGTTAAAGGATCTGCTTCATTGAAGGCAACAAAACTAATAAATAATTGAGAAAGGCTTATATCGGACAGGGATAAACTTCTAATGACTTGGATTGGTGATCAGACACAGAAGCGTATTCCTCTCGGCACCATGATGACCATAGCCAAAGCAAAAAGTTTGCGATGTTGAAAGAAAAGGTTAAACCTGATTATAATGTTGCATTTACTGCCAGCTCTGAGTGGTTTAAATAATTCAAGAAGTATTATTTTGAGAATAAGATAACTTTCAAATTTAACTTATTGTTGATAATGATCCTGGATAGCCTCCATTTATTGAATATCAGAATGCTGTTTTCCCCCTCCAAACACCATCTCTTTGATCCACACAATGGATCAAGGAGTTATAACAGCTTTTAAAGGCTCCTACCCAAGGTGGACCTTTGCTTAGGCTATTGCTTCAACTGAGGAGGACACTGAGAAGACACTGACGCAGTTCTGGAAAGATTACATCTATGACTGCATCGAGAACCTTGCTTGGGTTTGGGGTGATGTTGCCAAGGAGTGTATGAATGGCATCTGGAAGAAGATACTCAGGAGGTTCACCCATGACTTCAAAGGATTTGCCAAGGATGAGGAGGTTGCAACAATCAGTAAGTCTGTGTTTGAAATGACAAACAACTTTTACCTGGGTGTAAATGAAGATGACATTGAAAAGCAACTGGAGGTCGTTCCTGAAGAATTGACTAATGAGTAGTTGTTGCAACGAAACAGGAATGCATTGCTAAAGAACAGGCAAAAGAAAAGGAAACTGCAGAGAAGAAAATGAACTTCCAAGGAAATTCACAGTGAAGAGTCTCACGGAAGTTTTGCAGGCTTCGACAAGCTCCTTAAAAAGTTTTTGATTCATTAAAAAACACCAAAAGATTTTCATTAATAGAGAGGCATGTTCATGGTGCATTATCTATCATGAAAAAAAGAAACGAACCAAGCAAACCACCATGGACATATTTCTGAAAAGAATGACACCTCCTTAAGAAGAACCTTAGGCAGGCCTTTAGGAGGTATTCCAAAAGAAGACATTGTTATCATACGAGGTGACAGCTCCATGCCTATTACTGCCCCTGAAGACCTTCTAGTGGGGCAAGATGTGGAGGTGGAAGACAGTGATAATAATGATCCTGACCCTGTGTAGGCCTAGACTAATATGTGTGTTTGCGTCTTAGTTTTTAACAAAAAAAGTTTAAAAAGAAAAAAATTAAAGAATTTAAAAATAGAAAATAGCTTACAGAATAACGATTTAGAGAAAAAAAAATTCTACATCTGTACAATGTGTTCCTATGTTAAGTAAGTGTTATTACAAAAGAATTGAAAAATATTTAAAAAATTAAAAAAGTTTATAAGGTAAAAAGTTACAATGAGCTAAGTTTAATATATTATTGAAGAATGAAGAATATTTTTTATAAATTTAGTGTAGCCTAAGTGCACAGTGTTTATAAAGTCTGCAGCAGTGCACAGTGATGTCCTAGGCCTCACATTCACTCACCACTCACCCAGAGCAACTTCCAGTCTGACAAGCTCCATTCATGGTACATGCCTTACTTGGATGTGCCATTTTTATCTTTTATATCATATTTTAACAATATTTAAAAATTTTTAACATACTTTTTCTGTGTTTGAATATGTTTAGATGCAAAAATACTTACTGTTGTGTTATAATTGCCTATGGTATTCAGTGCAGTAACATGCTGTACAGGCTTGTAGCCTTGGAGCAATAGGCTGTACCATACAGACTAGATGTGTAGTAGGTTGCCCCCTCCAGGCTTGTGTAAATGCACACTATGATGTTCTCACAATGATCAAATCACCTATCGATGCATTTCTCAGAATGTATCTCCATCATTAAGCAACACATGGCTGTGGTTAAAAGGTTTGGGGACTTAACTTCAATAGTTACAAAAAATTCTTTTAAACATGATGAATATAAATTGAGATGTTTTAGTTGTAACTTCCTGTGCTTCTAGTCTCTCAGACACTCATGTTTTTGTCTATTCAAGGCGGGCTTTCTGAGCCTGATTCCATCGTGGGCCATCTACAGCAGCATGTTCAAGACGCTACTCCTGACTCGCTACCCCCACTACCTCAAGCGGAACTCCCACACCAGTTAGTTGGGGCGGGCTCATGTGCCACCTAGCATGCTTTCTTACCAAGTTCCGCAGTGGCCGCAGAAGACCAAAGAGCAGACCAGCACCCATCATCCCCCGAAGCTGGGGGGCCGTGTCACAGACGCAGTATCTAGAATACAACTTTTGTGCCATTTTGCTTGTGTTAAAATCAAGGACAAATGGAGACCAGCCTTGAAAATTCCCTGAACAGATAAAGCCAGTTTACTCATAGAAACAAAAGTTAATTTAGCTTATTTTGGAAGAATAATGGTGGGATTGAGGGCAGGCCGCCCCCAAATATGTCACTTTGGCATACTGATTATATCAAGTTAAATTATTTCGAATTACTTAAGAAACAGCAAGAATACTCTGCCTCTCCTTTGCCTGAGTGAAAGCAGGAAGTGAAAGGTACCCTCCCTATACCAAGAGAAAGATAGCCATCTTTATAGCCAGATATAGGGAATCAGGCACCAGATGGCTGTATAAACAAACTTTGCTACCTTTTCAGCATGTTACTACCCCATGTCCAAACCCCTTTGTCAATTCTTCACAAATAATTGTTTCCTTGTTTAAAAGATATAAAAGCTGCCTCTGTTGGTCACTTCTTTGAACTTCATGCTAAGTGTTTGTGTGAGTACTCTGTCTTTTTGGTGTGTGCATAATAAATTTTTTCTAATTACTACTTCAATGATTCATTGGTTTTAATTTGGTTATTCATGAACCTTTGATACTCAAGTCTGGAGATCTTTGAGACAGCTGTGGTGTAAAAACGTGTTGTGCAATGGGATTTTAGGGTTTTGTGTGTGAGAAGAGGAGGATGTCTATAGGTAAAATTGTAAGAATTTCTATAAGGGATTATAATATAAATGTGGTGAGAACAAAGCCTCCGATTCTTTGAATATTGAGGACAATTAAACCTAGTAAGCTCCTTTTAGAGCTACATTAAATAATTTCTGAAGTCACTAAGCTTTATCAAGACCGCCGTTGGCATAGAACACTCACTGGTCCTCAAACGAGGTTCCTCAGAGGCCCAGGAGACGGTCTAGGGGAAGGTGTGGGAGCAAAAGCTCCATGGGGCCAGTTTCTGGGGACCCTCATTTTGACTAATGCAGCACTAGCTTTATCTATTTTATTTATATTTGCTATTCTGTGTAAGACTGTGTTTATAAAAATAAAAACAGAAAAGAATACATTGCTAAAATAGTTTTAAAACCATCGCTGTAATTCAGGAGTTAATAACTGCAGAAATGAGATTTTTGCAGGTCTCCAGCTTTTGGGGTGCTGGACTGAGGACTTAGATTGTCAACACATAGTGGGTGGTGTGTTGGGAAACTGCTAACCTTTATTTCCTAAGGGAGCTGGGAAGGGAGCAATACTAGAACAGAGAGAGAGAGAGAGAGAGAGTAACTGTGTATCTTAGAGTAGCTGTGATCTTTGGCTGAGAGATGCTGCCAGGCTGTGGCCACCCCATAAAGAGTGAGGGTGGCAATTGCGATATTGTGATTTATAATGAGACATACATATTTCATTTTCATCCTCATTCCTTGGAATTCTTAAGTGATAAGAGCTGTTATTCATAATGAGCCCCTTCAACCACATTTGGGTTTATATTAATGAGGCGATGTTTGGAGATCTCCTAAGGATGGGAGCTGATTGCTAGGGGAACCAATCATGTGATTAGAGGATTGAAACTTTCAACCCTACTCCTCCACCTTTGGGGAGGTGAGAAGAGGTGGGGATTGAGTTCAATCATCAATGGCCAATGATTTAATCAATCACGCCTATGTAATGAAGCCTCGATAAACTATGAACTATGGGAGGATGGCATGCCAGCAGAAGGCATGGTAGCTCCACACCCCTTCCACGTACCTTGCCCTATGCATTTCTTTTATTTAGCTCTTCTTGAATTGTATCCTTTTATAATAAACTGGTATACTAGTAAGTAAACTGTTTCCTCAGTTCTGTGAGCCATTCTAACAAGTGATCAAATGTGAAGAGAGGGTCATGGGAACCTCCAATTTACAGCCAGTTGGCCAGAAGCCCAGGTGACAACCTGGGCTTGCAATTGCCAGCTGGAGTGGGAGCAGTCTGGTGAGACTAAGTCTTTAACTTGTGGGATCTGCTGCTCTCTTCAGGTAGTGTCAGAATCGAGTTAAATTTTAGGACATCCAGCTGGCATCTGAGAATTGCTTGATGTGGAAAAAGCTTTCTATGCATTTGGTGGTCATAATTATTACTGAGAGTAGAGTGTTGAGAGAAGAAACAAAAGTGTTTTTCCTTTACAGAAACAAATACCTAAACTTCATTCTCCTACTGTCCTCCGTGTCTCCTGCTGGTGTCTCCCATTGGTCACATCCAGCTGGAAGCTCATTGATGTAATTCATAAGGTCAATCTCCTGAGATGCCAAGTTCAAGGTGTGTGTGGAGAAGATGGGTAGAGAGTGGATCTGGAGGGAAGAGATGCAACATAAGACCCACATATTAAGCGATTTGCCCAAAGTCATACCATTAATAGTTGGTAGCTGATGAAATGGGACCCTGGACTTCTTCCTATACTCCACTCTATGTTTCAAAAGGGGTAAAACTTTAAGACAAAATAAGTATCTTACTGTCACACTCAAGATTTCAGCAAAGTGGGAGGTATTTAACATATTAAATCCTAATCTGCTTAAATATGAGACTACCATGCTTGCTAGTTACTATTGTTGTGAAACAAGTGATCCCCCCAATTTAGTGGCATAAAATGACAACCATTGTTTTGTGCTCATAGATCCTGTGGATCAGAAAAGGCACAGTGGGATGCTTTGTTTTGCTCCATTATGTCTGTGGGTTTAGCTGGGAAGACGCAAAGCCTAGGAATAATTCAGTCTCTGAAGCCGGAATCACATGAAGGGTTGCTTAGTTATGTGTCTGGCAATTGATGGGACCCCAGCTGGAGTTGTTGAATGAAAACCTATACATGGCCTCTCTAAATGCTGCTTGGTCTTCCTCACAGCATGGTGGCTGGGTTCCGAGAATGAACGTCTCAAAGAAAACTAGGAGGAATCCAAATTGTCTTGTATGACTTAGCTTTGGAAGTCACATGGCATCATTCACAAGCCCTCCCAGATTCAGTGAGATGGAATACAAACCCCAGCTCTTGATGGAAAATGTATCACATATAATTTGGAAATATGGTTTGTGGCCACCTTTGGAAAATACAATGAGCCACATAATTAATTTTACTATAATTGTTCTAGCACATATCAATTATGGGGAATTATTTGGTATTTCTTCAACTCTTGATGAAGCAACTTAAAAAATGTAGACATTGTGTTTCTAAACCTTCACATCAAACTCTGGTAAATTTGCCTTTGAAGAAGAACGTCCATAACCAGTAGTTTAGGTGAGGAAAAAAATATTGTTAGCTTAAACAATGTAGGGCAGATTTTAGAAATAATTTTTAGTGATATTGGAGTTTTCCCAATATATTAATCCTGGATTGATTTGAATGATTGATTGTCTAACAAGCTTTTTGAGCATCTTTAAATTAGGAGAGAATTTCCTCATTGCAGAGGCCTCAAGATGTTCGACTGGCTTATGAAACAAGAGCAGAAAAGCTCTGTATTTTAAGATTTTTATACCCATCACCAGTAGCACTTAATAATAGCTAACATTTGTTAAGCACTGATAATGTGTCAGGGACTATGTAAATCCTTACAACAACTTAGGAACTAGGAACTACTATTATTATTATTTATCATCATCATCATCATCATTCTTCTTCTTATTAATTTTACAGATGAGAAAACTGAGGCACAGAAAAAATGAGTAACTCACACAGGTTCACTTGACCAATAAGAGGCAGAGCTGGGATTTGAATGTGAGTCATCTTCTAGCATAAGTGGATGGATTAAAGCACTACAGTAGAGCCCTACCCAAATAGGATAAGGTTCTCTAACTGGACTTAATAAAAGCGATCAACCCTATTCCCCCCAGTTCTGTATTTTTTACTTTCCCATGCTGTGTAGGGAGGGGAAGAATATGGCTTTGCAGCCAGGCCCACGTGTCTCGACTCAACACTTACTTGACCACTTTCCCAATTTACCATTGTCTGGGAATCATTTCAGAATAGGAAGATTTGCCAAATTTCACTTAATTTTTGTTTCTGCTGAGGAGTACTGGGCTATTGTTTCTTGCCTGATTCTCTTTCTGTTTAGAGTGTGTGGGACCCCAAGGAACGGCATCGGCAGCTGGTCATTTTGATAGAAGCATTCACTCTGTGTTCTTCCAGCCTTCCATCTGTGCTGCTTCCCAGCATGCCAAAGGCCAGAGGATCCCTCTGACAACACGAGGAGCAAAGAAATGAGGTGATTATGGGCTGCTGCTCTGAAAAAAAGTTGGGAGGTGTTGCTGGGGCAGTTCCCTGGGGTGTCATCCATTTCTTGTTCTTGTGGGATAAGAACCAGAATGCCCCACTTCAAAAAGACTCTTTTAACCAATGCTTGCTAGAGAAAGCCAAAGACGGTCATACTGGGGTCAGCACGATTTGAACCATGTTTGTCTGCTTCTGATGCCAAAAATGATGATTATTCTCATTGGAGTTTATCCACTGTGCTGAGGGCTGAGCCTGGTTTGACTTGCTACTGCCCTCTAATGGTTTGGGAGAGACACTGTTGGGTCCTTCCATCTACTAGGAATTTTAGAACAGAATCCAATTTGAGGAAAGAAATCCCTTAAAAAATTTTAGTTCTTTTTTTTAAAAAATGAGATATAATTTATGTGTAATATTATATTAGTTTAATGTGTACAACATAATGATTCGATTTAAGTGTACTACAAGATGATCACCACAAGTCTAGTTAATATTCATTACCACACATGGTTACAATTATTTCTTCTTGTACTGAGCACTTTTAAAATATACTCTCACCAACTTTCAAATATACAATAAAGTATTATTAACTATAGTCACCATGCTGTACATTATATTCCCAGGGTTTATTAGTTTTATATTAGATGTTTGTGTCCCTTGACCACTCCACTCCTGCCTCT